GCGACCTGAGGGGGCCGCTTGCGGCCCCCGAAGGAGCCGCGACGGGCGACGGGAAAAGGGGGGGGGGGGGTGGTGGGGGCCGGTAGGTGCAGCGGCGGGGCCAGCAGGTGCAGTTGCGGGGCCGGTAGAAGGGGACGGCAGGAGCCGTCAGGAGGGGACGGCGGGGCCGTCAGGAAGGGACGGCGGGGCCGTCACGAAGGGACGGCGGGGCCGTCAGGAGGTGACCGGGCCGCGACGGGGGCAGGCGGCGGGGCCGCGTAAGGGCCTGGGCGGGGCCGCGACAGAGCCGTCGGCGGGGCCGCGTGAAAGCCGGGGCGGGGCCGCGTAGAAGCCGGGGCGAGGCCGCGCGAGAGCAGGCGGCGGGGCCGCGAAGGAGCCGGGGCGGGGCCGCGTGAGAGCAGGCGGCGGAGCCGCGTAAGGGCATGGGCGGGGCCGCGACAAAGCCGTCGGCGGGGCCGCGTGAAAGCCGGGGCGGGGCCGCGTAGAAGCCGGGGCGGGGCCGCGCGAGAGCAGGCGGCGGGGCCGCGAAGGAGCCGGGGCGGGGCCGCGTGAGAGCAGGCGGCGGGGCCGCGACAGAGAGGGCGGCGGGGCCGCGTCAGTGAAGGCGGCGGGGCCGCAGGGGAAATGGCGACCCGAGGGGTCGCTAAAAAAAAATGATCGCGCCTCGGGGGGCGCTTCGGTGGGCCCAAAAAAAAAACGGTCCGTAGAAGGACCCGCTCTATACCATGTGAGAATAAGCGAACAGGAATGGATCAACTAGAAGTGAAAAGAGTACAAGTAGTAAACCCTAGAATTGTGTACCCCCTATAGGCTAACCCACTGTAGCCTACACAAGTATAACATATATAATGTTTGACACCGCCCCACGTTATTGAAGTAAAGTTTTTTGTGCATTAACCTTTTCCCTTTTTTGGTGTAATGTTGTCCCGCGAACAGTGATTCTTTTGGAATCAAAAAAGTTGATTCTTGTATTTTGGAAGAATCATTTTTTTTCTTCCGTCTCACTAGGGCGGAAGCTTTCCGCCAGAGGGGGGAGAATATGGACAAAAGACGGCGCGGAATCAATTTTAGGTGGTGTTCGCATCGCTGCTGCTAAATACTGCGCTTTGATTTCAGAAAGTTTTACCTTATAGCCCGCACTGTTTTGCCCTCGATAATGCGATTAGAAGCTTCGGTGAAGACGGGAAACATTTTCTTCCATCCTTCTTTCGTGGCTGCCGAACTGGGCCCATATCACACGTAGGAAGGTGCCCAGAAATGATGGCAACTTGATACTCATGGCAGGAGCGAATTTGGGAACAATTGCTGAGTGAGTGTGGATGGTGACAAGGGACCTCTAGCCCCTGATTTGTGGTCGATCCAGCATGGTCGAACGGGCCTCGGAGTTTCGGATGCTGGGGTCGAGCACAAATAAGGGGCTAGAGGTCCCTTGTCACCAGGCTCTGTAAGGGAGAAAGCGGATGGATCGAGGATCAGCGTTTTCTGAGCTTTTACTAAAGCGGAGAACCTTCTTCGTGAGAAAAGTGCAAGGCGAGCATTGCGACATTGGCGTTGTTCGCCAACACTTTTAACAAGAAAAATGACGGGATCGGGAAGGTCAGTCTCGGCTTCCTGATCCCGTCCGTTAGGGTTCGTTAGGGTCCGTCAAGCAGGTCAGCCCGCGAAATTCTTGCCGAGCCTGTGATTCCGTCCGAACCAAACGGAATCATGTTGTCCTGTCGAACGCCCTCCTTTTCATTCATTTCGAATGGAATCGTGAAGGTAGGAAAGTGGATCGGGAGCTTCCTCTACAGGCAAACGTTGGTCCCGTTGCCATTCCATCGCCATTCACTCCCCCAAGCAGAATTGCCTTGGAATGGCCATGGGATTGGAAGGATGTGGAGGGGGGGAACGGGGAATTGGAAGGTGGGGAGGGTGGTTCCTGATCCCGTTGCCACCCTTCCCCTTTCTGGCGCGAAATTTCGCGATTTGGCCATTCCCCCCCACACCTATTCTGGAGGTTCCTCCTCTGGTTCGTGATTCCACGGCCATTCCGTGGCCTTTCTTTTTTTAGATATGCTGGCGAACACCGCCATTGTGGCTTCCTATCTTCAAGGGTTCTGCGTGCACATATGACTTTGGGCTCTCAACCACGAGCCTAGTGGTCGGCCAATGAGCAGTAGCCACGAAGAGGGTTCTGCGTCTGAAGGCTTAAACTGCGCGCCAAGTGCCTGACTCTTGGATATCATTCTGCGCTCATGTACAGTGGTTTTTCTCCAAGCCAGGAAGGTAACGCACCAATCATCAGAGCTTGCTTCAACTCAGCAGCACGCAACCCTAGATTGTGGTGGAGGCAGGTTTCATCAAGGAAGCAAGGGCGCATTGACTGACATGGCGGGTTTCCAGACCTCCCTCTTGGGCCAATCACTCGGCTAGGCCCAACCTGACAAACAGGTTCGCTATTGTTTCCGTGCCACAGCTGATGCGCGAACCCTACAATTCGTCATCCAATACAACTCCACGCGCGGTTATCCCAACCACATCCCCAACGGCTCGTGGCTCAGTGCTTCGAAGGTGTCGCATAAGCAGCAGTTTTATTTTCCCTCAAAATCCCACCCAACCGCCTGAAATTCAAAATATCACAGTTTCAAACCAGAATCAAACCACCTGAACCGTGTCGGTACGAGCTCACCCTCACTTGCTCAGCACCAGTGACTCTAGCCAAGCCACCCCCTGACCTCCATTACTCACCTCTCCACATCCCCTCTAGAGTCCTGATTCTTAGTTTGGTTTGGCTTGCTTTGGTTTGTAATTTTGTTCCGTTCTACCATTCTGAACCGCGCTGCTCCCCCCCCCGCTGCTTGTTTCTCTCAACCCACGCCATCCACACATGTGCTCCTCCTCTCCCCAGCGTGTCGCTCCGTCATCTTCACATCATCCATCCTATCAACGCATCCGCTCCAGTGGCGCTTCCGTGTCAGCCGTGAGGGTGGTGTGATGTGCTGCAGTGTAGACGGCGCAGAGCACCAAACCAAACCTGCTTGAACTTAGTGTTTCTGGATGTGTTGTCTGCTGACAGTGTGGACCGGAGATAAGGATGGAGCTCTAACAGCCTCTTATCACACAGCCCGCTTCAGCCTTTCCCCCCGTTCCTAGCTTATTCGAACGTTGCGCTGATCACCTTTTTGTACAAAAAACAGCAGCACTTTCCGACGTACATACCTTCCTCCCGTTTTTCCCGCGAATGCGTTTGTCGCGAATCCGGGGTAACACGGACCCTTGCGCACATCCCCGTCGTGCCGTTGTGTCGCTGTCGTGTCGAGCCTTCGGAAAGCCCTCGCTGCGTGCCGCGATCGACGCCTTGCGCACATGACTTTGTGGCACCAGGTTAGGGAACTGCCAGCTGCACCGCCAGACTCGTCGTTCCCTCGTTGCCGGCAGAGCAACGCACCTGCTGACGATTCCGGCTCTTCCTCCTCATCCCCCTTCCCGCCCCACTTTACATCCTCATCTCACTTCTCTGATAGCGTCAACGCCGTATTTTACGCTGCGACGGAACACGGCACGGCGCGCTCGTCGCTGGCTCGCAGAGTGCACGGGCGGCACCAGCAGCTGCAGCGACTCCTGGGAGCCGCGTGACACGCAACGCAACGCTCCGTGCCGGAAGCGACTGACTGGCGACGGATGTTTGAAGCCAGGGATTCCTCGAAGTCCGTCCGGTGGTCTTAGCGGGTGCGTTTGCAGTGCGTGCAGGGCGTGCAGTGCTAGCAGCGCTCCAGTTTAAGTTGATACAGCAGGGTGAGTGACAGGTGCAGCGCCGATATCCCAATCTTCACGTTTTACTTTCATGCGCGGGAAAGAGTCTTGGCGTGTGCATGCGAATTCGCCTTCTTAACTTGCTCGCAGTGAGTTGAGTGGGAGCTTTTGGTTCTGAACTCGGATCCTGTCGGCTTTCGTTGCCCTTGATTGAACTCCTTAGTAGGGTCGAGTGTTATTGATGCCGATGTTGCTTTTGCTTTCAGTGTCACCTCCCTCAGTTTGAACCTCTCTGCAAGTCCCTTGAAGCAGTGCCTATTTATGCGCTATTTGTGTGGAGATTTCTTGAAAGTTCATCCTCCTTGTATTCTGCTCGGTGCCTTCACGGTTATCCTGCTTTCGCCTCTCCTTCCTCGGTGCCTTCACGGTTATCCTGCTTTCCCCTCTCCTTCCCCGCTTCCTGCCTTCATTCCTCCCCGTCCTGCCGTCGTTTTCCCGTGTCGCCTTCCTCTCCTGCTACCGCAGGTCATCTCAGGCTTCTTTTACTGCCTGGGTGCCAACTTTACTCGCAGCGTTCTCTTGGTTTCACCTTGGAGTTTTTAGTTCCCGTTCCGTCGTCATTTCCTTTGATTCGGAGCGCCCCAGTTACGATTACGGTTCCTCCGATCGCGGCGGCTTCAGCTGGACGCAGTGATTTCATTTGTACTCTAGGGAGCGTTTCGCGACTGTACTGCCGCGTCACTGTGCCGAAGAGTTTGCGCTGACTGCTGACCTAGCCGAACCGCCTGACCTAACATTCATTCTCTTTATTCGGCGTTAGGCGCGCGCGGATACCTGTTGTCTTCTTCCTTTTTCCTCCTCGGCGCATCCAACGTTGTGTAGGATTCCATAGGATTCCTCCGCGCCTCGTGCCGCATCTCTCCTGTGTGCTAAGGCGACGTTAGCTCAACGTTCACCTGCTTCGGATTGCCTCTACGTTCACCTGCTTCGGCGGGAGTAGACAAGGCTGCTTGGAAGTTCATTAAGGCTGTGCAGCAGCGTCCGGTACAGGGACGAGGTAACTAAAGGTGCAGGGCTGGTGCAAGGAACGTTTTCGAGAGCAATTTCTTCCCAGTGCGACGTCTGTAATACAGCTTCGCAGCAGGAAGTTCTACAGCAATCGAAGCAGCAGCAGCAGCAGCAGCCTTAGTGGCACAGCCAAACAGTCAGCAACAGCAGGCATGGCGTCGTCGTCGTCGTCGGCGGTGTCGAGCAGTCGCGCGCGCATGGACCAGATAGTATCGGAGTTCCTCGCCAAGAGCCTACACATCATCCTCGACTCGCGGATGCCGTGCGCTGCTCATGCACCCGCAGCACCCGCAGCGGCAGGCGTTGGCGCAGGCGCAGGCGGAGGCGCAGGCGGAACCGCAGCCGCAGGCGCGCAGCAGCATCTCGACTCAGCCTTTGGCCTCTCCGGTCCTTCGCCCCTTCCCTCCCCTTCTCCGCGCCACGCTGGGTTTGGCGCTGCTGCTGATATAGCAACCGGGGGGGGTGGGGGTGGGACTGGGAGTCTCACGAGCAGCGGAAGCAGCAGCAGCAGCAGCAGCCATCGCGCGGCCTCCGCTTCCCCCTCCCCCGCCTCTTCCTCGTCTTTCTCCTCCGCGCCCTTCCCGTCGTCGTTCTCCCCGTCCTCCCCGTCTCCGGGGGTAGCCGCCGCCGCCGCCGCCATCGCCGCCGGCGTAGCAGCAACTCCCGCGCCACTTTCCGCGCCGTCGATTTCCGACCGCTGGTTCAATCTTGAGCTGCAGCAGGGAGCGGCTGTGATGGAGGCAGTGGATGGGTGGCGCCGTTTCCCGGTAGAGCCGTTAGTGATCGACATACTACTTGACAGACCCACCTCCTTCTCTTCCCACTCCTTTCGCGCCCCATCCTCGTCCCATCCTCACTCCCACTCTCACGCGCACTCGCCCGCTCCCCCTTCCGCTCCCGCGTATGGGCCAACCGGAGCAGCCGCAGGAGGTGGCGGGGGAGGCTTGAGCGGGGAGGTAGCGCTGGCAGGCGCGGGAGCGGGCCCCGCGTCCCGCAGTAGGAGCCTGCGCCAGCACGCGCCTTCCCCGGAAGCGTTCATAAGGCTGTCCGCCCCAGGGGTTGCGTCCGGCTCAGGCGCCAGCGTCGCTGCTGCCTCTGCTGCTGCTGCTGCTGACGCTGCCGCTGCAGCGTTTGCTTCTCTCGGGACCGGTTCTGGTGTGGGATCGCCGTTCGGTGGTTCCGGCTCTGGGATGGAAGCTGCGGGGCTGGGCGAGTCTGGAGCAGGGCGACGGGACTCGGCGGGTGCTCCCGGTGCTGCTGCTGGTAGCGGTGGTGGTGGTAGTGGGGGGGGGGTGAGTAGTGGTGGCAGTGGGCCGCTGTTGTTGGAGCGGTGGGTGGTGCGGTACGAGAGAAGGCGAGGCGGAGGCGGTGGTGTGGAGTTGGGTGATGGCGCTGCTGGCGCTGGTGGGGGAGTGGGAGGGGCAGGAAGCGGCGGGGTTGGCGGAGGCGCAGGCGGAGGGGGAGGCGGAGGGGGAGGCGGAGCGGTGGATATACCAGTGGTGTACAAGCACATGGTCGTTATGCTTCGCTCCCTCTACTCCCTCACTCGCACTCTCCCCGCATATCGCCTCTACTGCTCCCTGGCTGACGCTGCTCTCTCCTCTTCTGCTGCTTCCTGCTCCTCCTCTTCCTCCTCCTCCTCCGCCGCCGCCGCCGCTGGCGCTGGCGCCGCCGCTTCCTTCTCCCCCGCGCCTATCCTGACCTCCGGCTCCGCACTCCGCCCCACGTTCGCGCTCGCCTTCCGCATCTCCCCCAACCCCGCCGCCGCGCTCGCGGACGCAGCTGCCGCGTCGTCCGCCGTCGGATCAGGCGCATCCCAATCCGGAATGAACTCGTGGGCGCTGAAACCGTTAGATCTCCCCGGCGGGCGCATGTCTGTCTTTGTGGTGTATAGACCCGGGGCTGCTGCGGCAGCGTCGGTGGTATCTGCTGTAGAGGTAGCACCTCCTGTGATCACGCGAGTGATCACAGACTACGTGGGTACGGGCGGGTCTGTAGCAGAACCGCCGCACCACCGTCGCCCCATCCGGCACTACCAGGCTCCCCCCGCGTCCCTCCCCCTCTCCTCCTCGCTCTCCTCCTCCGCGTCTTCCTGGTCCCCGTTCTCGCGAAGAGCGTATGGTCTGCTCGCGGGGCTGCCCTTGCTTGTTTCCCCCTCCCCGTCCCCCTCGTCCTCCCCCTCGTCCCTCCCGTCGTCTTCCGCCGCGCAGTTCTCGTCTCTGTCGTCCCCCTCCGCCGCCGCGGCCGCGGGGCGCGCGCTGGTGATGTTCGCGCGCAGGCACAGTTTCGGGGGGATGGAGGAGAGGCGCGGATCCGCCGTGGGCCGTTCCGCCTCCGCGGCCGTGGGTGCGGGGGGCGGGGAGAGCGGCGGCGGGGGAGTGGGCGCAGGGGCAGCAGCGGGAACAGCGGGGTTTGCGGGAGGGAGTGGTAGCGGGGGGAGCAGCAGCGGGGGGAGCGGCAGCGGGGGGAGGGGAGTCATGGGGGTAAGGTCCGCCGTGTCTGCTGGGTCGTTGATTGGTACTGGGCTGTCGGGATCGGCCAGTGGGACGGCAGCCGCAGCAGGAGCGGGCAGTGCAGGAATAGGGATGATACAAGAAGCACCAGCAGCACCAGCAGGCGCGGCAGCAGGAGCAGCAGCAGGAGCGGCAGCGGCTGCAGCGGTATCAGGAACAGCAGGCATGGGGGGTATGGGAGGGTATCAGGTGCCGATTTTCTACCGTGGGATCTCGCCCCCGTCTCTGTCGTCGTCTCCGTCGTCTCACGTGTTCGCACGCCCCATCACGATCTACGAGCAGGAGCAGGACGACAGCGGGGTGGAAGGCGCAGCAGGGCAGGAGGCGGGAGCGGGACGGCCAACCTCTGCTTCGTCAGCACCACTGGACGGGCAACGGCAGCAGCAGCAGGTGTCGCACTATCAGCAAGCGCACCTCGAGCAGCAGCAGCAGCACTACCAAGGCCTGTCTCATCGCCACAGGCTCCCCCCGATTGTCTCTTCCTCGTCTCCCCACCATCCCTCCTCTCTCCCCAGCCATCCCTCTTCCTACGACCACTACCATCACCACCTCTCTGCCTCCCCCTCCCCTCCCCCGTCCCCATACCCCCCGCACCACCCCTCCGCGCCCTTCGCCCGCGCGCCCAGCCTCCCGTCCCTCCCGAGCGCGCCTGTGTCTATTCCCAAGATCAACTCCCGCGGACAGATCATCCCCCGTCGCCCCTCTAGCACGTTCCATCCCAGCAGCGCCAGCAGCAGCAGCTGCGGAAGCAGCGTGGGAGGGGGCAGTGGGATGGGGGTAGGTAGCAGGGCAGGCAGCGGGGTAGGCAGTGGGGTGAGTGCCGCTGGTGCTAGCGCTGGCGCGGGGGGTAGCAGCGGTGGGCAGAGCGGAGGAGGAGGGTACGGGAGTGACAGTCAGGAAGCATCAAGGGCCAGAGGCGGGGGGGTGGGGGGAGTGGGAGGAGTGGGGGGAGTGGGAGGAGTGGGAGGACTGGGGGGAGTGGGAGGAGTGGGCGGAGCAGTGCTCGTGTCTGGGATACCAGTTCCCGTTAGAGCTGTTAGTATGCCCCCTGTGTACACCCACACAAGCCACACAGCTGGTCACACCTCTCACACACCCCACACAGGTCACACAGCCCACACTGCTGAGGCGACTCTCACTGCTAGAGCCAGTGGTAATTTGCTGCCATGGGCGCCCGCACGAGGCCCTATTCCCCTCCTCCCCTCGCACCACACCCCGCCCCTCCTCATCCCTTCCCCCGCGCCTCACCTCGTACCCTCTGCACCAGTCGCCCCTACTGCCATTACGCATGCAGGGAGAACCGTGGTAGGGCCAGGCGGAATGGGTATGGGTATGGGCGTGGGCGTGGGCGTGGGTGTGGGTATGGGCGCTGGTGGTGTTGCTGGTGAGGAGCTGTTTTCCAATCGGCAAGGCTCCTGGCGCCCTTGTTCCGCCCCTGCAGCTGCTGGTGGCGGGCTTGCTGCTGCTGGGTTCCCCCCGGCGTTCCATGCCGTGCCGGCAGCAGTGGAAGCAGCGATACATGTTCCCAGGTTTACTTGGCAGCAACCGGTGTCCGCAGGTGTGGGGGTTGCAGCAGGAGGAGGAGCAGGAGCAGCAGGTAATGGAGGGGTGAAGCCTAGCAATGGAACTTCGGCTCTTACAGCTGCTCTTTCTGTTGCCTCTGCTGCAGCAGCAGGCGGTGGTGCTGCTGCTGTTCCGGCTGCTGGGTCATCCGCGCAGAGCATTGGCCAGGGGTATATGGGCGCCGGTGGGGTGCAGATTGGAGGGGTTGTGGGAAGTGCAGAGGCAGCAAGAGCAGGAGGGGAAGGTGCGTGGGGCGAGAGGGGGAGAGGCGGGATTGCAAGAGAGGGGGGCATGGAGGGGCGTGACAGTGGGCGACCGCATTCCTACGGCAGTACCCATCTGGTGAGACCCGTGTGCTGTGGTGGGGGCATGGGTGGTGGGTGCATGGGTAGTGGGGGTATGGGTGGTGGGGGCATGGGTGGTGGGGGCATGGATGGTGGGGGCATGGATGGTGGGGGCATGGATGGTGGGGGCATGGATGGTGGGGGCATGGATGGTGGGGGCATGGATGGTGGGGGCATGGATGGTGGGGGCATGGATGGTGGGGGCATGGATGGTGGGGGCATGGATGGTGGGGGCATGGATGGTGGGGGCATGGATGGTGGGGGCATGGATGGTGGGGGCATGGATGGTGGGGGCATGGATGGTGGGTTCCAGTCGCCCATTCCCTTCTCCCTCCCTTCTTTTTCTCTCGCCTTCCCGTACACCCCATCCCTCCCTCCCTCCCCCCTTCTATCCGTCTCTTCCCAACCCATCCTTTTTCTTGATCCCTCGATCCATCTCCTGACCCGTTGTGCAGGGGTGGGAGCAGCAGGCATCGAGGGCACCGGTTCCGGAAGGTAGTGGGGTAGAGGAGGAGGAGGAGGAGGGGCACCTGCTGCTGCCCTTTGCTGTGGACGACGATGACACTGACGAGCCCTTGCCCACTGAAGCCCTAGCGAGGTGTGTGTGTGTATGTGTGTGTGTGTGTGTGTGTGTGTGTGTGTGCGCGCACGTGCATTGCTGTGCTGCTGCCTGCGCTCGTGAGTTGTGCCCTTGCTCATGTCAATGTCATGGTGTCGCGTGGAGACATGATGAAGGGAGACAGTCAGCATGTAAGGAAAACTAGAAAACCAATCGTCTGTTTGCGGTTCACTGAAGGGCATCCGATCGACCAGGCATTCACATGCAACAGGAGAGACTTGCAAACAACCTGCTGGTTCCCAGAACCAGATCAGTCTTCTAACATTCACTTTGTTCTTCCTCTTAGAAAACGATGCCGTTACATCTTATATACACTCACCACTTCTCTGGCAACATTATTGCGAGATCTTCCCGAGTTTGCCTCAAAGGGCTCATATCCTTGATTTCCATCGCCTCTTCCTCCCTTTGGTCCCTGCTTTTTCCTTCCCCCTATCCAACTCCAGCCATTCCCAGGATGTCAACCGCGCATTGCCGGGCGTTCAGAGTCATCGGGTGGATTCCCACAGGGCACGCGAGTCGAGCGATTCACGTGACGCTGCTGTAGGTGCGCTCATCCGTGTCCTGCGCTATGCGCCTCCTCTCCGCCCCTCCTCCTCCTCCTCCACCACCACCTCCTCCTCTGCTGCCGCTGCTGCTGGCCTGTCGGTAGGCGGTGCAGGCAGCACGTTTCTGTCTAATCCCTCGCAATACGGGGCTGCCTTCCCCCGCAGCAGCTCCTGCAGCAGCACTGGCAGTGCTGGCAGTGCTGCGGCTGCTGCTGGTGGCCGTAGTGGCAGCAGCAGTGGGCGCAGCAGTCCTTATACCACAGGTGCCAGGGCAGCTGCTTCTGCTGTTGCGGCTGCTGCGCTGCCGTCCTTGGCCCCTCTCTCTGCTCCAGCTGTTACCGCTACTCTTCCTGTTGCCGCTGCTGCTGCTACTGGGGCTGCTTGTCCTGCTGGTTCTCCTGCTGCTGGTGGCTTTGTTGGCGGCCCTTTTGCTGCTGGGATGATGGGCGGAGGGATAGGCGCAGAGGTGGTGGAGGGGGGACTGGGTGCTGAAGGGGCGGAGGGGCCAGCAAGGGCAGCAGAGTCGCTGTTGGATGAACTGTTTGGGTTCAGTGAGATGAGGGAGACTCTGCTCAGACAGAGGGGCGTGGCCCGCAAGTGAGGGAGGCGTGCGTATGTGCGTGGTGGGGGGCATGGAGGGGTGCTTGTGGTTGTGTGCTGAGGGGACAAGGAAATGCAGAGAGCAGAGGTTTTGGGAGGGGGAGTGCAGGTGAAAGGGGAGGTTGTGCAGGTGAAAGGGGAGGTTGTGCAGGTGAAAGGGGAGGTTGTGCAGGTGAAAGGGGAGGTTGTGCAGGTGAAAGGGGAGGTTGTGCGGGTGAAAGGGGAGGTTGTGCAGGTGAAAGGGGAGGTTGTGCAGTTGGGTGGAAGTGTGTGTGTGGTTGGGTTTCTGGAGGCGGTATTGCTGTTGCACCGCTATAGGGTAGGGAGTGTGTGGTGTATTGGGACCCGAGAGCGCATGGGTGATGTGGGGTGAGTTGGAGTGTTGTGGTATGGAGGTTTCTGTTCTGACACAGGCTGGCTGATACGGTAGGAGTAACCTTTCTTCCGACGGTCCAAGCGGGAGGACAGGTGACGGAGCAGACAGACAGACAGACCGTCTGTGAGAATCTAGGCTGGACATGCCATGCCACATGCTGGGGAAAATACCTTTACTGCAGTCCCTTGAGCTAGCCTGCTCTCTGCATTAGTGCTGGATAGACTCCCGTCCTGAGCTCGTCTTTTTGTGAGGGATGAGCTGTGACGTTGGCTGAAACTGGTTCTCTAATGTAGGTACAAAGTGGATCAAGGCTAGGTTGTACATATCGTTAACTTAGGGACTAGTCCTTTATGCTGCTGTAACTGGCTTAAACATTACTGAAACCCCCTGTATACATCTTCAGGTCAGTCTTAAGGTAACTTGAGAATCTTGAACACTGGTACGGTACTGTATGGTTGTTATGGTATAGTCACTGATTTTCTAGTGCGGAATTACGGATCTGAAGTTGTAGTGCATCTAATTGAAGTGCTTTGATCAGAAACAGAGTTGAATTTATGCATCAACAGCCCTCACATAGAGGCGGACCATTGGTCCAATTGAAGCTATGTAATAGACGATTATGAGAAATCATCTAGTGCCACCCAAATGATTATTCACATCACATATGAATCTCTGCACAATATAGTGCAACTTTCATGGCTACTGTTACGAGTGCAATTGAGTGAACGAACGAGAATTGCACTATCGAAGCAAGAGTACAATGAGCGAAGGTATGAGCGAAGAATATATAGCGAAACTACTGTGGTAACGGTAATGGTCGCGCGACGAGCCTGGGACTGAGGTTGGGAACGTGTCGAAGCGTAGGCCCGGAGCGCGGGTTACCAGCCGAGCCGTGAGGTCGGGATGCGATGTGCGAAAATGGCGGGATGATGAATGATGCGATGGTCGCGAGTGGTAACGGTGCTGACTGAGGTGCTACAGTGATGTACGCGTTGAGCAGAGATGCGAAGTAAGGAAAAGGGAATTTCCTTACACTACCCCCCCCCTCCTAAAAGGTCCTCCTTACGAAAGCGCGTGGACGTCTTTGAAGTTTCGGCTGCGTAGATAGTCGGTGACGACAGGGTGGTTTTCAATTCTGTCCAGGGGAACCCAGTTGTCCTCGGTGGGTGTACGATCTTTCCAGCGAATCAGAAACTCAACTTTTCGGGCCCCTCGAGGGTCGCGAACTCTGTGGCTCAAGATTTTGTCGGGGGTGATGACTGGTTCGGTTGGTGGTCGTGACATGCTGGATGGTCGATGTCGTGGGAGTTGGCTGGTGGATGGTACGTAAGGGCGAAGCAGACTGACGTGGAACGAGGGGCTGACGTACCAGTCACAGGAAGGAGGAGGTGCGCGGTGACAGGTGTGATCATGTGACTGATTCGAAATGGCCCACAGTATCGAGGGCGGAGTTTGGGAGTGATGGGCAGGCGGAGGTTCTGAGTGTCGAGTAAAACGAGGTCGTCGGGCTGATAAGTGACGGGTCTGCGGTGGCGATCGGCGTTGCGTTTAGCGATGATATTTGATTTTTTAATTGCTTCTGCTGCCCTGGTCCGTGCTGCTTGCAAAATCTCGGCGAACTGTTGTGCGCGTGGAACGGGATTGTCGGGGTTTGGTGTCATGGGTACTGTTGGGTTCTGTCCGTAATTCAAGTAGAATGGCGACTGTTGGGTCGTGGCAGATGGCGCGTTGTTGTATGCGAACTCGATGAGAGGCAGCTGCTGCTCCCACGTGTTTGGATCGTCACACGTGGCTCGAATGAGTTGCTCCATAGTCTGGTTTGTCCGTTCTGTCTGTCCGTCGGTTTCGGGGTGATACGATGAACTGAATTGAAGTCGCGTGCCGAACTACTACCACAGGTTCCGCCAGAAATTACTGGTAAACTTTGTGTCCCTGTCGCTGATGATCGACGCTGGTATCCCGTGCAGTTGAACGACGGTGGCGATGAAGAGTCGGGCTGTTTCCTCGGCTGTGATTGATTTCCTGCATGCTGCGAAATGTGCCATTTTCGTTAGTCGATCGACGACGACCAGGATCGCGTCATTCGCACTCGCCCCGGCCGGTAACCCCGTGACGAAGTCCATCGTCACCTATTGCCAAGCACGCTCTGGAGGTGGGATTGGTTGTAATTGTCCTGCCGGCCGCTTCCTGGTTGACTTCATGAGTTGGCAAGTGGGACACGATGCCACGTGACGTTGCACGTCGGTCAACATTTCCGGCCAGTAATAGTACCGCTGCAGCTGCTGCCATGTTTTTTCTACTCCGAAATGTCCCGAGGTAACTCCGTCGTGTGCCTCCTGTAACAGTAGTTCCCGTAGTAGCGTGTACCCTGGTACCCAGATGCGGTCGGATCCAGCTTTTACGTAATAGGCTCCCTTGGCTGCTGCGAATTGCAGTGAATTTCCTCCTGTGAAGAATGGGTCTGTTTGATATCCGTGGGTAAATAGTCCTGTCAGTAACGGGCTGGTCTGGGCGAGTAGTATCGCATGTATTTGGGCAGTGGGGCGGGTCAGTGCGTCGGCGATATTCGAGGCTCCTTTTTTATATGTGACCGTATAGTGGAAATTCGATTCGAGGAAGTCGAGCCACCGAATCTGTCGTGGGTAGAGGTGGGGCTGTGCGCGAAGGTACTGTAGGGATCGATGGTCTGTCCGTACTGTCACGTCTGCGCCGGTCAAGTAGCAACGCCACACTTTGAATGCATGCACGATTACGAGCATTTCGCGGTCGTGTATCGGGTAATTTCGCTCAGGTGGATGTAGCTTGCGTGATTCGTAGGCGATGGGTTGGAGGCCGTTGCCGAAGTCCTGTAACAGTACGGCTCCGATGGCAATGTCACTCGCGTCTGTAACAACTTCGAAGGGGCTGTGTGGGTCAGCGATGCGTAGGACGGGTGGTGAACAGAGAACATTTTTCAGGGCAGAGAAGGCAGCATGCTCTTTCTCCCCCCACGTAAAAGGGACCCCCTTACGCAGTAAATCAGTGAGCGGGGCTGTTAAGCGTGCCATGTCGGGGACGAACCGACGAACGTAATTAACAAACCCTAAAAAACTCTGTAGTTCCGTGATGTTCGTCGGGGGATGCCACGCTTTTACGGTATCCAGCTTCTTAGGGTCTATCTCAACCCCAGCCTCCGAAATGACGTGACCTAAAAACTCTAGCCTGTCCCGAAAAAACTCGCACTTGGAGCCCTTGGTGAGTAACCGATGTGCCTCTAAAATTTTAAAAACTGCTTCGAGATCTACTAAGTGCTGCTGGTGGTCCCGACTGAAAACGAGGATGTCGTCGAGGTAAACTATGACGCATTTATCTAAAAGTGGCCTAAACGCCTCGTTCATGGTCATCTGAAATGTTGCAGGCGCGTTGGTCAGCCCGAAAGGCATCACCGTGTACTCGAATGACCCGTACCTAGTCCTAAATGCTGTCTTGGCGCAGTCCGATGGTTCGACCCGAATTTGATGGTAACCTCCCCGTAAGTCTATTTTCGAAAATACTCGTGCGGTTCGCAGCTGGTCGATCAGTTTGTCGGCGCGGGGGATGGGGTATCGTGATTTTACTGTTACCCTGTTAAGCGCTCGGTAGTCGATGCACATGCGAAACCCCCCGTCTTTTTTCGGTGTGAACAGTATCGGTGCGGCGAACGGTGACGAGCTCGGTCGGATAAACTGCTTCTCTAACAGGTAATCTAACTGCTTCCTTAGCTCGTCGAGCTCGGGCTGTGTCAGTCGAAATTGGCGCTGTACAGTTGGCTGTGCCCCCGGTTCTAACTCGATCCTATGGTCATGCGCCCGCTGAGGTGGCAGCCCTTGCGGTAAGTGATCCGGAAAGATACCCGGGAACCGTTTCAGTAGTGCCTGTAGTTCGGTTGGTACGGCTGCCAACAGTTTCTGCAAATCACTCGGCCGGTCCTCTTTTTCCACTAATGCGATATCCACTGCGTACACGTCAGCTCCAGCACCGACAGCCCGTTTCATCGTGATGGCGTTGACCTGGACCGTCGAAGACTCGGGTGGCTGCCAGCGAGGTAGGACGACCCAGTTACCACTACTTCGCACTGTGCAGCTACCCGTCGTCCAGTCAATTCGTGGGTTATACCGTCGCAGCCAATCACGTCCCAATAAAATGTCGTGCCCATCCAGTGTCGTTGCGAGCATTTCCTGTGTAAACCCGAAGTTCCCTCCGCAGCGGACCTTTACTCTCTCCACCTTTTCCCGTATAGCCAGTGGCGTGCCGTCGACTAAGCGTGCATCTATCTCAGGTAAGCATCGGTTAAGTGTTAACTGTAATTTCCGTGCGGTTGCGGTATTAACTAAGCTGTGACTTGTGTCAAACATTATAAATGTTATGCTTGTGTAGGCTACAGTGGGTTAGCCTATAGGGGGTACACAATTCTAGGGTTTCCTACTTGTACTCATTTCACTGCTAGTTCATTCATTCCTGTTCGCTTATTCTCACATGGTATAGAGCGGGTCCTTCTACGGACCGGTTTTTTTTTGGGCCCACCGAAGCGCCCCCCCGAGGCGCGATTTTTTTTAGCGACCCCTCGGGTCGTCATTTCCCCTGCGGCCCCGCCGCCTTCACTGACGCGGCCCCGCCGCCCTCTCTGACGGGGCCCCGCCGCCGGCCCTTACGCGGCCCCGTCGCCTGCTCTCACGCGGCCCCGCCCCGGCTCCTTCGCGGCCCCGCCGCCTGCTCTCGCGCGGCCCCGCCCCGGCTTCTACGCGGCCCCGCCCCGGCTTTCACGCGGCCCCGCCGACGGCTTTGTCGCGGCCCCGCCCAGGCCCTTACGCGGCCCCGCCGCCTGCTCTCACGCGGCCCCGCCCCGGCTCCTTCGCGGCCCCGCCGCCTGCTCTCGCGCGGCCCCGCCCCGGCTTCTACGCGGCCCCGCCCCGGCTTTCACGCGGCCCCGCCGACGGCTTTGTCGCGGCCCCGCCCAGGCCCTTACGCGGCCCCGCCGC